GAATTGTACGGATGTTAAATTTTGTTGGTAAAATATGGGTCCTAAAATTCTAGATCTCCAGATGCGCGCCATACTTTCACGGATCTTTGCCCCTGCTTTTTATATATTTTTTATTTTCTGAACTCCAATCATGTATATATTTTTTATTAAATAAGACCGCAGACGTTGTCAATATTGATTCATCGGTCCAAATTATATTATCAAATATGTTATCTAAAAAATGCCTATCCATCATTATATTGCCAAATTCGAATCTTAAGTATGGTTTTCGTTCTGGTGTGAATTTAAATGGCTCATAACTGTTAATTTTCAAACCTGTTGGAAGTGTGGAGGTCTCTGGAGTGTTTTTAAAATTCAAAAAAATTTCTACCTGCATATTTTCATCCAATACCGTTCGCTACAACGCTGCCGTTTGTTCGAAACAGCTGCTATATTTTGGAATTTTTTTGCTGGCAATCGTCTATAGATAGATAGATAGATCCGGACTTTTGTAATTGGCGATGTAACATTCTAATAGGTCAACTTTTTTTTCCTTCGTATACTTTATACAAAATAGACTCAACAAAAATCCAAGTTAATAAAATAAATAGAAAATAGTAGAAGTCGTAAAAAATACGCTTAAAATATTATAATACAAAGATTTTTTGTTTTTGTCTTTCAACCTACAGATGTTAATATATTTTTTTTAAACATTTGGTCCGTATTATTAAAAATATGAATATTTTTTAAGAGCTTTTTCCTTATTTACAAGAATTTTAAATTATGAATGTAAAATAATTGATGTATTATTGGAAAATGATTGCCAATTATGTCAAAACGTTAAGTCAGAGACCCCTATTATATAATTGCAAATGCTATTAAAGTAGCTATTCGAAAATCCAATAATATACAGGGTGTCTCATTTTAGAAAACTGAGAAAAGTATCATTTTGCGAAACGTGTCAACACGGCGTATTGTAAGAAAATATTTTAAATTTGACCATTGCCTAAAGAAAAGCATCATTTTTGTAAAAATAATATATGGAAAAAGGTTTAAAAAGTTATATAAGCGACCCGACATTGATGGTTTAAACATAACCCGAATTCTGAAGATGGTCGCTAATAAGTTCGAAACGGTGCACACATATTAATATATATATATATATAAATGTAACTTTGTTTTACCACCCTGTAAATAAAAATTTGACGATTAGGAAAGTTTAAAAAAAATAAAGTCCCGTAGGTTTCGAGATAAGATAAAATATGTAAGGTCTTGGACCGGCTATCCTGTACAAATCCATTAAATATAATAAGTGAGTGTTATTTCCAAAAAGATTACCTACATAAATTTTTCTTGACACCTCCGACCATAAATAAAATAAATTCTTAAAGCTCAATTAAAATCATAATCATATAACTACGTGACATGTTGAAATCTATATCTTCATCCTTATTGTTATTGTTTTATTATTTGCACTTATATTTTGTACACTAAACTCGTTATCGATTCGCAAATAGCATGAATTACCCGTAGGCGACTGCAATGATTTTGCGATTTTTACAACAGATGCCTTGTTTTCCAAAACCGACTCAAATTAAATTACTATGTATATCGCGAGAGCGCTAATAACGTTTCATTTAAGTGTCAATATCACGAGAGTGCCATAAAGATTTGCGCAAATTTGGATTAAGAACGACTTAATAAATTTCATAAATATTGAGACCGAATGGTTTGGGATAAACGTTAAGCTCCAAATCCTTGACGATGTTTGCCCAAAGCGGTATTGTTTCGTGATCCGTCGTTTTGTACAACATATAGGGTGGTTCAAAAAAAAAACGAATAAAGAAAAAAGAAATCACAGTTACAAATTTTATCATTACTACCATTACATGGGATACATAAATGTTGATATTAGCAGTTCATAAATTGCTTTGTTTTCTTCAAAACGGCTAATGTACAGTGTGTCACACTCAAGCCCATTGGTACAGAAATTATCATTTTTTTTGTCTGTTCTCCGTTACGGAATTAAACGGTTTAAGCTAGGCAGTCCAAATTTTTGCTAATCTTCAATAGTCCACAAGATGTGTGAAAATGGCTGAGGTCAAGCCTCGGCGGCCATCTTTTTTTTCCACTTTGGACTGTTTTTTGGAAATCGCTATAAAAAAATTCTTGAACGATAAGATCCACATGATCTAGAGGTATAAGCCCTTATTCTGTACAGGGTGTACCCGGTATTCGCAAAAAGGTTTTGTATTTAAGGTTTTCGCCTGTTGTACAGTTTGTTCAATTTATTTCGTGCTATATTAAGGAATGGAACAAGTGTCTTAAATTTGAAGCTATCGACTATCGAGATATTTAAAAATCACTATTCTCAGGCTTGACTATTCTTATAACTTCTACTTCGATTTTAAAAAATTTATGGTTCGATTTCGATATTTTCTTTTTGTATATAAATGAAATTGACGAAAATAAAATTATCAAAATCGAACCGCAAACAAATATTTTATGATCGCGACAATATTTTCTTTGTTATTGTTCCTGAATGTTTATTTGAATGAAACATGATTAATTTAGGTCAAACAAAATGAAGGGAGACTTCAAGACGCCATATTTGGCAGAATAAAATAGTAGACCTCATAATATTCATCCATATTTATTGAAAATTTAATTTCCTTCATAAAAATGTATCTAAACCGAATACGCTACTGTTTGATATAATGAATTAAGCAAATCCCTAATTTTTTATTTGTGCGTATAATACAACCAAAAATATAGTTTAAGTACTGTATTGTACCTTAACTGCAGACCTTCGCAGGACCGTAATAAAACACATCTCAACGCTTATAAAGTGAATATGAATAGTGTTTTAACCCTAAAAGAACTGCATAAAAAAGTACCGACAGACTTAACAATTATTAAATGTCAAGTGCTAATGGAATCTCAAAGAATTTTGCAATGGAGGATGGATTATTATTAAAATTATTAAAATAGACGAATAGTCTATGTACACGAAACGTGGTTCGACACTCGCGATATAGTAAAAAAAAGATGGTGTGTGTACTAGATGTGCCGCGTTCACATTGACAACGCATAATAATTCTTCATGCTGGATCTAAAAATGGTTGGGTGGAAGATGCCTTATTTTTCTATGCCAAAAACGTCAAAGATTGATATTTGAGGACTGGTTTGAAAATAAACTGTTGCCAAAACTATCGCCAAAACTCTTTTATTGTGTAGAATAATAATAATAATACTTTTCTTCAAATAAAGAAATTTAAGAATTTCTGTAAGAAAATAATTTTTTCTACTCCCGTATGTAAAATACCTAATTACACATCGATCTAGTGTGCAGGAAACGCACATGAAATGTTGAGATTACCCCAGTATCATTGCATATGTAACCCGATCGAGGTAATTTGGTCTGAGTTGATAGCGTATATAAGAAGAAATAACACTGCACCAACATTTAGTGATGGTACCATAAACGTAATTCGGAAAGAGGTAGCTAAAATATCAGTAAAAGGCCGGTCCAACTGTGAAAAACGAATAATAAAAGAAGAAAATATTTGTCGAGGACGATTAGTGGCGGAGTTGATCATTGAACTAATAGCGATACTGACTGATTATATTTAATATTTTGTATATTAATTACGATATTATGTAGAAATATATTGAAATAGAACGTAATAAATTATTTTATGTACATGTTTCAAGAATTGATAGGCTTGTTAGTAGGGGCTAAATACATTCCTAGGACGGTCCTGGAATAGTTACGGGTAAGGGTCTGCTCGGCAGAGCGTTCTATAAGGGGCTGCGGTTTTGGAGTAATAAACAGTAGGCAAAGTTAATCACGCGGTCGGTTCTAAAAGCACTATATTTCTGGTCGAAGTATAATCACATTGTTACTATTACTATTTAAAAAACAGAAAATTTACATTTTTCCTAATAGTTTGACCTGGGGATTTTTGATTTTCAATTTTCACGCTTCAAAAATGGCTTTTCGATTCGATTTTCGCGTATAACCTACGTGCTTCAATCTTGCGATGACTTGCCGAAAACCGTTGCCCACAATACAATTTGCTCGGTTTCATAACGGCCGTGTCATTATCGAATTGAACATTCGAAAAATGAAATTGACGTAAAAGAAACGCAAAATGCGAAAAATACTTTATTGTTTATCTTATCGGCGTCTCATAGAAAAGGACAATACATCCTAACCTATCTTGTCCTTTGTTGCCCACGCAGAAAGTTTACCATATTTTAGAGCCGGTAAACCTAGATCGGAAGATTACGTCAAATGCAATCTCATTTTACAAAATAAATAAGAACTAAAAGTTCAGATTTTCACGAAATTATATATATTCACATGACAATTGATTCTACAACACCGTGTCTTTATCAAATGTAATATTTACAAATTACCTGCTACTACATTTACCGAAAAATGACCATAACACCTTACTTAATGTTGTTGTGAGAATTTAATTTAATTTAAATAAGAGAGTGACCTTTATTTTAACCAAGGATTCCAGAAATGTCGATATATACAGGGTTCCATTTAAAATAATAAAGTTGATGACGAGGGGATACTTATGGGACACCCTGTAACAACAAAATTATAATATTTCAAATGTTCAGGAGAGAAGCTTTGGATAATAAATAAATAAATGAATGAATATATAAAATTATTATTATTATTTACATGGAAGTCGAGAATTTTAGATTTGAAAAATTCGGTTTTGTAGTATACATAGAAAAAGTCCAAGTTTACTTTGGATTGAATCCGATGAGACGTCGTGGAAGTCTATAATTTGACGTAATACTTACTTTTTAATTGCTAACTGCTTAGTTATTACATCTAAATTGGCTGCTGGTAATTTAGCAAAATGGGCATTAACAAAAAATTGTGAGATGAGTTTTCCTGCACTAGAGACGTCGTTGAAAGTTTGTCGTCATATTTCTATAGGCGGAAACTTCAAACTGTCGGAGATTTTTCGAAAAAGGCCCTCCGTTTTTTGCAGTAATGGCGGTTTCCTTTCAACACGTGGCAATACTCTCGGCACTGGTCTTCGCTTGCTGCTTAGTCGCTCGAGCCAGGATCCTGGATGAAAATTCGGAAAAATTCGCCAAGTTCGTCAACGATAAAGAGGGCACTTTTATATCCGAGAAATTCACTCCCAACATCGAGCTCGATAAAACGTTTAGGTAAGATTTTCATTCGGAGATTCCCATGTCTAATCATCACTATCAATCTAACTTTTTTCTCCAAGAGAGAGAAACATAAAACGTGTATACAATCAGTCATGGCAACAAAATATAATATGGAATAACAATTTTACAACATAATATTGAAAACATTAAACTGCAGGAATCTAGACATACATTAAAGCTGAACTAAGAATATCACAGAAGAGGTATAATCATCTGACTAGACATAGTTATTGATATTTTTCAAACAAACTTCCACAGGCTACTGTAATACTATTTACAAAACATCCGGATTCCTCCTGCGTCGGTTTTTGCTGAGTCGAATTTGCCGACGTTTCGCCTGTTGGCTTCTTCAGAGCTTAACAGAAACTGGTTCTCATTTTACTCTGTAACTGCTTATATGTTGTTTCAGGGGGGCGGAGCACAATGAGGGGCATAAACACCGTCTCGGATGACTGATTCACATATTGGTGACAGGTAAAGATCTGCCTCTCTAAGGTTCACAAATCAGGGTTACCCCTTCGACCTATCGTCAGCACCATTGGTTCTCCGATATATTCTCTAGCAAAATATCTAACTTCTTTATTAAAACTCTTTACTGGGAGAACTCATAAATACGTACTTAATTCGTTTCACTTCACTGAACAAATAAAAAGCATTACATTAGATACACAAGATATACTGGTTAGTTTCCAAGTAGAATGCCTATTTACCAAAGTCCCTATTCCTGAAACTCTCTACAGCATTTCAGATATTTTAAATCCTTAATTAAAAATACATTACCCTGCAACATGTTTTCCTTTTAACGGTCAAATTTTTGAACAAACGCCGGGAACAGCTATGGGTTCTGCACTATCACCAGTCATTGCGAATATATTTATGGAAGCCTTTGAGAAAAAAACTCTCGACACCTTCCACCTGAAACCAATATTATGGAAACGCTACGTCTATGATACATTTTTTATTTTTCCTTATGGTAAAAATCCCTAGCAGATGTTCTTAGACATTTAAAGTCTATACACCCTAACATTAAATTAGAAACTAATAATAATTCTTAGATATTCTGATCTATAGAAAATCATACCTAACATTGCGTCATTTTGTTTACAGAAAACGTACGCACATAGACTGATACCTTAATGCTACCATCACCAAAAATCATCCGCTATCAACTCTCTTACTTACAGAGCCGTTAAACTATCTCAACTCGAGTCACTGAACCCTGAATTAAAATACCTTACCTGTGCTCTTCTCTCTAATAGTTGCCACATCAAAGATATTAAGCATTCCATCACAAAATACACTTCAGCAAAACCTTCCAATGAACCCGAAAGCAATCTCACACTTGGCACTGTTGTCCTTTCTCACATTTAAAACATCACTGAGCAAATGTCATAAAACTATAATTCTTGGATGTAATCAATTTTTCTACCAGCAAATAATCAGAGAGTCTATAGAAATCTATAAGCAACCTAACAATCTTAACCGCGACTCAGGTCTTTACCTGTCACCAATATGGGAATCATCATCATCATCATCTGAGACGGTCCCTCGTTTAGCTCCGTCCCCTCAAACAATATGTAAGCAGGACAGGGTAAAATGCGAGCCAGTTTCAGCCAAGCTCTGGAGAAGCCAACAACAATTTTGACACAGTAAAAACCGACGCAGGATAAATCCAGAAGTTTTGTAAATAGTATTATAGTTATTGATGTCTTGAAAAAATGTCTTTGACTTAGTTTTTGGGAGTTGTATTGTGTCGACCTTACATATAGCATTAAGACGGAAGAAATCACGGCTGAGGTTGTCTTTACTCCGTACTCTGTAACTTTATTCACATCTAAAAAAAATCTGTTTGAATCTCGTAAGCCTAAATCAGACACTTACATAAGCGCTTGTGAGGTTTGTGATTATTTCAATTACCCTGTGTTGTAGGCCAAAGACTCTTGCTGCTCTCAGTTTATTACATAATAAAGCAAGTGGAAGCCAAGAGTGTGATATGATGTCCATAATATATTACAATCTGCACCTACCTACTAGTAAAAATGTTTTTTGATATTTTTTTGGCCACTTGGTCTGTGTGGTGACACGAATTTAGTTTAAGGTCTGAATCAATTCCCAAAAAATTTGCACTTTGACAGAAGATTAACGAACTGCTTTCTCTTCTATAGCCATCTCTTTTGGTTTAATTACTCAAAATTTGAAGTTTCAGGTTTATCAGTAAAGTTTTAAGGGATGTATTTAGGAGAGATTGATGTTAGTAGGTATCCGAGGAAAATGATGAGACCCAGGGCGACGAGGGTGGGGGACAATTTGGAACTTTTCACCGCCAGGGGATACGGGAAAAGGTCTGGATGCTCGAGCACGTGGTGCAAGAACAAAATGGAACTCTTCGGCGCCAGAAGGTACGGAAAGAGGGATCCGAAGGTCGATAGCGTTTTATGGTAAGTGAATATTCCGTAGTACCATGGTTAAAGATATCCAAGCACAAATAAAAAGTGGTGTAACGGTTAATTTACATTTTTTTCTAATTATAACTGCCCCCACCTAATGGACGATGCTGTCATTTTTTTTAAATAACTATAATCTGTCACACTGTAAGGTTGCAGAAACGACAGTTTTATTGTACCCATTTTACTGTTATTAATATTTTTTTAACAGGAAAAACATAAGCGTTTTTGTTGTCGTTTAACAATTATATTCACGTATGGGCACGTTCGATATCCTTTAATAATTGATCGGGCACTATAATGCGGCAATTTGATTATCAAGGCACTAGTAAATTTATTTAGGTACAGGATGTTCGTGACCGAAATGTTGAAACGTTTTTGCGCTGACACCAAACGAGTTCTCAGTTTGTCTCCTATGTCAGTTCATGACCAAAAATTTTGTGTTTTTACAATCGACCAGTAAATTATAGGGTCGTCCTAGGAATTTATCTACCTACACTAACAAGCGGGATATTCTTAAAACATGTATATAAAAAAATTGGTACAAAGTAACAATTTATTACGTTTTATTTCATTACATTTCTACATAGTATAATTATTAATATACAGAATATTAGCTATAATAAAAATAAGGTATCAGTAACTTAAAAAATCGTCACTATCGCGACTCTCGTTTCCTAGTTTATTGACCAACTCCGGTACTAATCGTTCTCGATAAATATTTTCTGTTTTTAATACTCGTTTTTCACAATTATATCTGGTTAAATATACAATGATGAACCGCGAATATAATCTAAATATTCTTAAAAAATACCACGAAGAAGAAGCATGTTGTTAATCGACAGGCACGCGATTATTTTCAAACTTCCCTTACTGTAAGATAAATAAAGTACAGGTGGGGTCAAAGCTCGAGAATTAGGTACATAAATACGTACTTACTGAAAGGATCACATTTAAATACCTCAATAACATATACAAACATATTGCATTTCGATAATACCCCGCAGCATCGATGCTTAATCAAATTTAAAACGGTCCGTTTATGTTTCATTGTGTTCTTCTATCGTGTTTGTCTCAATCGTATCAAACACAAAAAAATTAGAACAAATGGATATCAATGTTCATCACAGAAAGACAATAACAATTGATATAGATTGTGTTTTTGAAACGCCAGTCACTGCGCATACATTTATGGAAGCCTTTGATAAGAAAAACCTCAACTGCTTCGATGCATCAAACACAAAATGCCGAGAAGTTTCAGTTAGGTTGTGAGGAAGCCAACAGGATGATGGTGAAACGTCAGCAACACTATGTGGACGTCGAGTCTCGAAAAATTTGCATAAAACTTATTATTATATATTTTATTAGGCAAGGGTATTGTACAAAAAAATCAATTGATATTATGAACTACGAGGTGTGTTCATAAAGTAAGGTGACTTTTAAGTTTTATCAAAATTAATGTTGTCTCCTGTAAAGTTGTTGTGTTCACATTAAATACGGTGGTGTTCAATTTGGGGTATATTTTATTGGCAAGGAAAGTGGAGCCTTAGACAGTTCTGGCAGCAATTATTATTTTTTACAAAACGGGAACGATCAGTAGGAGACTCCGCTAAAAAATTTGAGCATGTGTACAATAAATCCGGTCCTGAACGCAAAAGCAACGGATGGCTTAGTTTTAGGGGGCAAGCGAGCATTATCCGAGTCCAATAAATTCGTAAGTTCTTGAGGACTGTCTGAATTTATTCAACATGCTCTGATAGATAGGCGTGGGTACGAATTGAGGAAATGGTCTAGTAACGACCGGAAGATATTCCTGCATCGTACCTCCGCCAAGACATTTTTTCTTTTGATAAGGAATCTGAGAATCCTTTGATAGTGTTAGGATTACGATGGCATCCAGCAAGTGACGTGTTTTGATTTTCTACTCAGCCAGTCGACATACCTTGCACAAAACGTAACCTTCTCTCTAACTTTGGCGAGATCTTAATTTTTCCAACACACTTCCGCAGGATAGTGTAATACTTTTTATAAAACTTCTGGACTCCTCCTGCCTCGGTTTTTGTTGACTCGAACTAGCTAACGTCTCGCCAATCATCCTGTTGGCTTCTTCAGAGCTAAATGAGGGTCATAAACACCGTCTTGCATGACTGATTCCCATATTGGTGACAGGTACAGACCTGAGTCGCGGTTAAGATTGTTAGGTTGTTTATAGATTTCTATAGACTCTCGGATTTTTCGTTATTAGAAGAAGTAATCAATTCAAATCTACTATATTCTAATATCAATCAATTCTAATTTAATAACTAACTTTATTAAAACCCCTTACAGGGAAAACCGACAGTTTCGTACTTAATTCCTTTCACTTCATTGAACAAATAGAAAGCATTACATTAGATACACAAGATATCATGGTTAGTTTCCACTTAGAATCCGTCTTTAATCAAGTTCCTATTTCTAACACTCTCGCCATCATTTTAGATATATTAAAATCCGAGAATCTGGAACCAAATCTTCTCACCTTAATTGAAAAATGTTTGCCTGGAACAAATTTTTCTTATGACGGTCAAATTTTTGAACCAACGTCTAGGAGAGCTTGAGAGCCTTTGAGAAGAAAGCTCTCGAGAACTCCTGTCTAATTGGCCTCATGGTCAGGAATCACTAGTAGCTTTTCTTAGACATTTAAACTCTATACACCCTAACATACTTTTTACCACTGAAATAGAAACTAATTAAAACTAAATACAAATTCTTAGACTTCCGATTTACATAATCTACAATTTACATAATGACGTTATCACTTTGTTGTTAAAAGGAGTTCCAATACAACAAATTGGAAAGATATTTATATATCATAAGCTTTCTTTGCCTTTTTTCATAAAATAATAATACACAAAGATGTATACAATCAAAATAGTAGTGAAATAGTAGGAAAAGTAGGAAATATTGGTAATAAATTTAATATAAAAAAGAACCGTATTTTTTTACTTATTTATTTAAGTTACGGTTATTTAGGGTTTGAGTGCTAAAAGTGATAATTCTTATCAATAGAAAATCAGACCTAACATTCGATCATTATGTTTGCAGAAAACCTATGCACAAAAACCGATATCTTAATGCATTGTCACATCACCATCCAGGCCAAAAATCATTGGTTGTTCACAGAGCCGTAAAACTATCTCAGCCCGAGCCATTGAATTAAAACACCTTACCTCTGCTCTTCTCTCTAAGAATTCGCACATTAAAGATATTAAACGTTCCATCACAAAGTACACTTCACCACAACCTTCCAATAGCAATGAAGCTGAAAGCAATCCCTCACTGACCACATATCAAGAGATCTAAAGAGATATCACGTTAAAACCAGATTTATCACTCTCAACATGTTGGATCCGTCAAAGACAAAATTCCATGCATATGCGGCAAAGAGTGCAGAACTAAAATATACAAAATTAAACATATATATAACACTTGTGAGTTCTTCCAGCGCTTTTTTCTTTATCTCCTCATTCATTCCAAACCTCCTCCTGTTTTTTGAGTTTTGGAAAAGGAATTTTTAAATTTTAGGAGTTTTTCGTTGAATTTGGGAATAATCTACCGTCGTCGGAATACTGCTTTAGGCGTAAAGGCATGATCACGCATAATGACGTTTCGCAGGGTTGCGAGTACCTCACTAACATCGTTGGCGTGGCCTAACGTAATTTGACAGAGTAAATACGCATAATGGATACGATTGACAAGGAGCCCCGGTAATAAATACTTGTTAATTTGCTTGTCGACGGCTACGTACCCCAATGCAATTAGGCTGCATTAGGCGCATTAGACGATTTTATAGTAAATACGTCTATTACATGAGAGTTAAGTTTGGTTAGCTGAAAAAAGAATACAAACAAAGAGCAAGCCTCTCCTTTTACGTGTTTAATTGCTTCCTCTATTGTCTATGGTAGACAAAGGATTGCTTGGCTGATATATATATCTTCAGTTACAGTTTTCAACGGTATCAAAAATCTTGCAGATCCAGCCAATTATTTTAACATAAACGGTAAATAATCCGTGACATAAATGTTTGAAATTTGAAGAATAAGTCTGATCAGCTCGAATTGTTATTACATTCAATAAGCTTTCCAGAAGTGCTTTGTCTGAGTAAGACATGGTGCGATTTGGAGGAATTGCTATTAATTAACTTGCAGTCCTGTCCGCTTCTCGTTCCGAACTCAATGGTGGAGGAGTTGCAGTCTTTGTTAAAGAGGGGAAAAAATGTGCCTATTTTAAATGTAAACCAACATTTTGAATATACCCTCTGTGAGGTATTTTCCGAGTCTGACATCAGGTGATTTCGATATGTTTCTGGATTATTTAAATCTACTTTTAAAAACCCAAACAGCGCATCTTTTTTCTGTGGTGATTTTAATGTGAATTTTGACGATTCTCAGTCTAGACGGGTGGCAGCACTTGTGAATCGGTTTATATCCTTTGGTTTGAATAAAACATTGGAATATACCCGAAATTCTCATAATCACAAGTCCGTAATTGAAAACATTTTTAGTACGGCTTTCATTAAATGCTTTAAATGCTCAAGTGATTTATACGGAAAAAATTAAATCTATCCCAATTTATAGAAGACGCTTTACTAAATAAAATAATATAAATAACGTTAGACATGGACATTGTAAATAAATATAATATTTTTAAAAAGCTACATCAAAAAAAAATTGCCGATACAAAGAAATTATACGATAATCATTTTATGTTAAGTTCTAGCAGTATATCGCATTTTGGCAAATTATAAAAAAAGAGGCAAACATTCATACATTTTTTACTAATAACCATAAAACTATATCAGATATGAATTTGGCTGCACCTGCTTTTAATGATTTCTCTATTCTATCACTATTTGCTGATGATACAGCTGCGTTTCCGACATGGAGGATCTCTCAAAGAACTCTAATGAGACGGTGGCAGATATTGTTGATTATTGTAACAGAATAGTCTTACAT